TTTCTCTTTGTATCACAGAATCCTTTTCCTGGAGATGGTCCTATTTCTGTCTTTTACTTGTCTTTGAAAGTGGCTGTTTCAGACATACATGATTGAAATCTCTAATGGGCAGCAGTCTACTGGGGAACCATGTATCTCTAGTCTCATTCAGTCAAGTGATGTGATCAATGGTGAAATGGTTTATTCCAAAGTCTTGTATGTTTGAAATTCTGTCCCAAATTTGAAAAGCCCATGTCAGACCTGTTGAAAGCTGAAATAATTATTTCAGTCTCAAAGATGCCTTTGGACATATGGACAATTATCACAGTATCACCTTATTCCCATCGACCCGGTTTTAACTTGAGGAAATATGTGTAATGATTGAAGATTGGTAACTGTCTATTTTTATGTTTGGCTTCTGAAGTTATAACACAAACACAGAAGCGGGCTTATTTCCTTAGGAAAATTGGCCCCGAGGACTCTAACTTATCTCTGTATAATTGTATATTCTTTGTTAAAGTTTATGTTTACATAATACTCGATTCTTCTCTTGCCTTCCATTTTCCCTTCTCCTTTCTGTCTGGTAATAGTTAAATCTGAAATACTGAAATACAATTTAACTTTCTCAATTAGGAATTCTATCAAATCTCATGAAAGGTGATCACCATGCTATATAGTACACAGTGCAATTGTGCTGAGAACTGGATATTCCAATTTTGCTCCAGTCAGTGAACCGTAGGAAACAGTTTCCACAACAAGTCCAATATTTTTTACTCCAAATAGATGATCATTGTAGTAGTCATCTCATTGCAGTATCAGCAATCCATTTAGCATTTATGAAAGTATTATATTTTAGAAAAGAGCAATGCTGAATAAAAAGCAGCTCAGTAATACAAATAGTGGATTCATCACCGAACTGCTTTTAAAAAATAGTTGAAAATAACTTACTCTTGTCAATATATTTGATTAACATTTTAGACATTTACTATGATTCCTGTTGTGGCTCTGAAATATGTCTTGTGAACATTACTTTGTGTAAGAGTATGTTTTCAGAATGCCATCACTAAGAAAATTAAGTGAATCACATTTTACAGAGCTTGCTTAATTAAAAATGTGTACTCTATTTAGATTATGCTTTTCTTAATGAATTGACTTTTGTCCCTTCAGATCTGCTGCCTCCAAGAATGTTTATTATCCAGCCTGTGACTATTGGGCAGCTATAAAAATTGGCATAAAACTGTATTATAACTAGAATAACACTTGTGGTAAAGAATGAAAAGAAAACATTTGCAAAAGCATTGTTATAATTCAGCTAATAGAGTAAAAAAAAGACCATAGAGTGAGGTTTTGCTTAGACTTTTGAAATGGCTCTAAATATTGTTCTCTTAAGTGTTATGGTATTTGAGAGTCTTACATATTTATAAGTTTGTCAGATATGTGTTACAGTGTTTTCTACTAAAATATATGTACATTCTAATAAATTGGTTCCCATCAAACTGAGTGAAAACCTAGCCCATGAGTACTGGTTATTTTCAGAAATTTACTAGGAAAGAAACAAAATTTAGTGAAGATATTGCATATTTAGTCTACTGCATATAAAAATAGCAATTAAGAGCAAAGACTTTGGAGTTATCCAGACCCAAGTTATAGTTATACCAACTCAGAATCCAATAATATAGTTATCAATGTCTACGTTGCAGTTTATTTCTATGTAAAATCTATTATATGCCTGTAATCTTAACATGCGAGGCTGAGGTGGGCAGATTGCCTTAGCTCAGGATTTCAAGACCAGCCTGAGCAACATGGCAAAACCTCGTCCCTGCTCAAAATACAAAAAATTAGCAGAGTCTTGTGGCAAGTGCCTGTCCTCCCAGCTACTTGGAGGTAGGAGAATTGCTTGAACCTGGGAGGCAGAGGTTGAAGTGAGCCAAGATTACACCACCCGACTCCAGCCTGAGTGACAAAGTGAGACTCTGCTGCATGAAAATAAAACAAAAAAAAAAAGCACCAAAAACTATTGGAGTTATTTCTTTTCCTCTGTCTGTTTAGCTTGTTTTCCTAAAGGATGGTTAAATCATCTCACTTTTTCAGACAAAAATTGCATTTCACGAATGGGATTTATTTATTTATTTATTTTTCTAATACTGTTCAGGATTGGAACAAAGAGGCAATGTTCAAAAAACACAAAAAACAAAAACCAGAAATTTGGGTTTTAGGAGAAATCCGATCTTTAAATAAATAGGAACAGTGACATTTAGTACATGTGAATCAATTTGGTAAATACTGAATGAAGAGACAAGTTACTGTTGAGTAGGATTTAGTCGCCGTACTTAATTTTCAGCACCTTGAGTAAATAAGCATTGGGTTAAATTACTTCATGAGAGTTTTCCTCAAGATGAGAAAAACTTGCTTTACTGTGGGCTGCTGCTTGCTCACTTACTATATTGACTTAGCACTTGAGATCTAATCAGAAGAGATGATTTTAGTGAACTCATTTTTGGCCTGGGGTGTAGGTTGCAGGTGTGCATAGATTGTTATCTTTTTTCTATTTGTCCTGATCTATGGCTGCAGAGTCTCTGAACTGACTGCTTGGTCTACCTAATGTTTGGCATGGAGTCCTTTTGACTGGAGGTCAAATAGCGACATATGTAATTGACAACATGTCATTGAGGATACAAACTGTTTCTGTGTCTTGACGGTTAGTGACTAAAGCTGATCTAATCAAGCCTATGTAGTGCCAATTAACAATGCTCAATTAGGTATTCTGTCTGGCTTTCAAGTTTTGCTGCTGAAAAGCTCGGAGAGGAAATCATCTCTTTCTTTGGGATGACAAGAATATGAAAAATGATAATGGCAGAGGAATGCCAGTTATTTTAAAGAATTTGAAGTGATCACAATTAAAAATTTGAGTAGACAGCAAAACGTATTTTTTCCTCCTGATGTCTTCCAAAGAAAAACAGGAAATGTCTTCCTGTGTGGCATTTTTTTCTTAATTGCTGAAAATCATTGTAATGATAATAACTGTCATAGTATGACTTTTAATAAAATGTGCCAAGCACTTTACCTACTGTATTTCATTTATTATTCACATCATCCTTATACTGTAGACTCCTTTAGTATGGCCACTTTACAGAAGTGCATGCTACTTTTTACCTTCCTGAATTTCAGTCATTTCTTCTCTATGAAGAGAGTGATAGGTGAAGTTGGAGATTTTAAAAGGCCTGTTTAAACCCAATATCCTTGCTCTTACTACTGTTCTTACAGTGTCCCAAATATGCAATGCTTTCATTTTACTTGGCTGCTTTCCTTATGAAGTTCTGATAATTAACTTGTCCTCTGCTCAGCGTGATGGAAACCAGTTTATTATAAGACAGGGCTTGACCGATGTGGTGATGGTTCCTAAGCAGGGCAGAAATTATTGCCAGAGGGTACAGAGGACCGCATTCTAAGAAGGAACTGTGTTTGCTTCTGAGAAAAAGGTGGACTTCAGCTTTCTGAATGTAAGCAAATACAGGAGACAAGAAGACTAACGAATGAAGACAGTGAATGAGCCTCAATGGTGTGACAACATCAGCTGGCTGAATGCCTTCATGGTGTAAAATACTCCTGTAGCTCCCCATTGCCTTCATGATAAAACCTTCCATGGCTCTGTTTGAACCTTTACCTGCTTGCCTGTGAGTAACAATGATAACAATGACAGTAGTAGCTGAAATAATAGAGTGCTTGCTCCATTGAGTAGTGGCAGATACCAACCAAATGTTAGTTTTTTGGTTTAGCCATCTCTGTAATCATTCTTTACAGTATACAAAGGTATTAAATGCACTAATTGGTTGAGGTAATAGTTTTTAATTATCCATAAGTTTTCAGGCTCTGGGATAAAGCATTCATTTAATTTTTAAAACAACCGTCACCATCATTTCATAGTGTTCATTTAATTTTTAAAACAACCGTCACCATCATTTCATAGTTGAATAAACTGAGTCTAAGAGACATTGAGTAACTTGCCTGATGTCACACAGCTGAGTGAGGGATGAAGGCCAGATTGAAACCTGGGTTTGCAGATTCTAAATCTTGTGTACTGAATCAGAATACTCTCACATCCTTGTAGAGGATTGATTGGGCTGTCTAATTTTAAACAAAGATGATTCACAAACGGAAGATATCAGCTGTGGTCTGCAGATGTGTGCTGTTTGGTTTATTAAATATGTTTTATTTGGAGACTGCTTTTTTTTTTTTTTTTTTGGTTGGGGAAGGGAGCTACCCTGTTTGCTAAAGGCCCTATTTGTCATTGGGATACTTCACACACCCAACTTCCCTGCAAGGGACGATATTTGCGTTAATAACTCTGGTCTAAAAAGCCCAGATTAGAGAGTTCTTTCATTCCTGGAGTATGATGAGAAACAAAGATTCCACAACCACTTTCCCCTAGGATATTTTGTAACTTTGCCAGTAATTTTAAAATACAGCTTGCTTTTAGTTTCAATCCATTTCCTCCTCCCTAGCCCAGCCCTATCAATATATAGAACAACTGCTCCATAAACTCTTGGTTTCCAAGAATGCAGTTATTAACTATGACCTTCGCGTCTTGTCTTTTAAACCCTCCTCACATAATCCAGGCTTCCCTTTGACATCTCTGATGATTAGCTCCTCTTACTGGCAGACCGGTGCCTCTGCCACATGGGAGTGCCATTATACAGTAAAATTAATACCTCCTTCAAGGATTTATTTAGCTTTTTCTGACACACTCAAAAGAGCAAGGGAATGCATGCCTTGCTTTCCCCTGGGAAGATGGAGTATTAGATGATTAAACTGGTAGGAAGCATTTGAATATCCTCAGTAAACAAGCTTTGTATTTAGGCACATTGATGTTACTTTGAAGTTGTTTATTGCATTTATTTTCAAAGTTAGTTTGAGAGAGCTTTTACCAGTTATCTGGAAGTTATGTGCCATTATTACTTTCCTTGTTGCTTAAAAAAAAAGAATTTAAAATCAGCTACCAACTCTGGATTTTCTTTTTTCAGATGCAAAAGAAATTGTTTTAAAAGCCCAGATTTTAGCTGGAGGAAGAGGAAAAGGTGTCTTCAATAGTGGTTTGAAGGGAGGTGTTCATTTAACTAAAGAGTAAGTCTGAAGGTTTTAATTCCTTGTCTTTGGGCCAAGCAGTTATGGAAGGTGTTGCTCATGATTGAAAGGCACACGGAGGATGGTTGGGGATGAGAGCAACTAGAAGAAACTGAAATCATAGGTAGAGGGCTCTGGCAGTGCCCTAGTTTTCCTTCTGCTCCCACAAAAGGATTTTTCTTACTAATTGGTAAAAACTTGACAGTCCTTCTCTCCTAGACAATCCATGATTCATCATAAATGTTGGAAATGATACAACTTCCAACTGAAATGCTACTCCCATAATGTCACTCCCCTATTCAAGAACCTACAGTGGCTCCCCATTACCAGTGGCGTTTGGAGTACCTCTCCCTGATAGTCCAAGCCTTCCTTTATTTGAGCCTGTCTTTTCAACTTCATCTCCTGCATCTCCTAAACGCTTTCCTCTCCCTGTTCCTGTCACACACCTTTTTACTGTTTACTTTGATTTTTACCCTCTTCCTATTCCACTAATTGTTCAGTATCTTCCCAGTTTTCCACTGTCGGGTCTTCAGTCAACTCTTACCTAAATCTGGTATGCATTTCAGCATTATCTCTTTACTATGACTGTAACTTATTGGGTAAAGAGGTCCAACAAAGCCTCTTTGGTTTCATTTATTCATTCATGAATTCATTTTTATTTTGCTCTCACTGAACCTCTAGTACAGTGCTAAACTCATAAGCAGAAAGACACATGGGTCTTGTGAGGGTGAAGGTGAACCCTTTGCAGTGTAGACATGAGGCTGTGTGTAAGGACTCTGCTTTAAAATGATTTTCAACAGACATTCATTTTCTTTTTTCTTCTTTCTCTTAGCCCTAATGTTGTGGGACAGCTGGCTAAACAGATGATTGGGTACAATCTAGCGACCAAACAAACTCCAAAAGAAGGTGTGAAAGTTAACAAGGTAATATGGATACGTTGGGTCATTTTCTATATATGTGTTAAAAAATTGAAAAGAAAACCATTCTTTAGTTTTTGACAGAACCTAATGAAGTACTGCTCTTTGGCAATATGCCATTTTACTTTTTAAAGCTCATCCAATCTGTTTAAGCGGTATGTCTTTGAGGAGAAATAAAAAGGGCTCTATGATAGTAATATTATTTATTATTAGTGTCATTTAGCAAAAGTAGGTGAGGATGAGTGACCAAGCAGTGGCGTTCCCTCTGAAAACTCAGATGCATTCTGTTTGGTTGAGAGGTGCTTGCTATGACAGCCTTATATTCAGTGCGGGACATTTGCTGCTCCCATACAGTGACCCCCAACCCCAGGCATGTCTGTCAGAATTACCAATTGTGGTTTTCTAACTGCCACATTCCTTATTTGGGGATGACTGTAATTTTGAGCCATTTTTGTTGCTGGGGGTATATTGCATTATGAAGGTCAGCTGAAGCACCCAAGTATGTATAGCATGTGGACACCCTTCCTGCCCCCCCGCCCCGCCACACACAAAATAACCCAGAGAAAAGGGGCCTGCCTCAATCACAGATTTGTGAGTGGTAGAACTGAGACCAGCACCTAACTCTCCCTCCTACCTTAGATAACACGTTACAACAACTTAGAGTTTTCCACAAAACTCTCCCTGAAAAGTAAAAACAGGATGTCACCACTGCAGTGTCCTGCAGTGCTTGGTTCACAATGAAATATCATTACACACCCATCAAAATGACTTTTTTTTTAAGCACGTGGAAAGCAGTAATGGCATATAACTTCCAAGTAACTGTAAAAGCTCTCTCACACTAACTTTGAAAATAAATGCAATAAAGAACTTTGAAAAACATCAGTGTGCCTAAAAACCAAGCTTGTTTACTGAGGATATTCAAATGCTTCCTACCTGTTTAACCTACCTTTCGCCATCCCTTTTGTGTATCCAGACACTAGAACTAGCTACCTGAGTTTCAGAATCCAGTGGAAAATAAAAAGGCAGGGACCTGTGTTAAAATTTCAAGACAGCTATAGCTGAACATTAAATTCCTATACAACTACACTGATCACATGTGTCAGCACTGAAAAGCATCCATGGTTAGAAGGTCTGTCCTAAGAGCGAATTAGGGTCCCACACTTTGGGGTGGCAACTGTCTGCTCCATTGACGTAGCATCGCAGATCAGTGGTCCCTACCAGTGCACCATGCTGCAAGACACTACAGTGGTTACATCCTGTTTTTACTTTTCAGGGAGAGTTTTGTGGAAAACTCTAAATTGTTGTATTTATCAGCATTTAGTTCATTTTCTTTTGTTAATTTATGTGGGTACATAGTAGGTGTATCTATTTATGAGGTACATGAGATGTTTTGATACAGGCATATATCGTGCACAGTAACCACATTGCAGTCCTTTTTTCTTGCTGTGTAGCAATCTATGATATGGATGTACCTCCCACAGTTTGTTTAACCATCATCTGTTGAAAGATATCCGGGTTGGTTCGTTTTGGGCTATTACAAGTAAAGCCGCTCTAGACATTCAGGAACAGGTTTTTGGTATGAATATAAATCTTCATTTTGGGGAATAATTGTTGGGTTATATGGAAGTTGTATGATTCGTTTTTTTAAGAAACTGACAGCTGTTTTCCAGTGTGGCTGTTTGCTTTTACATTGCCATCAGCAGTGTGTAAGTCAGGGTTCTCCACATTCTAGCCCACATTTGGTGGTGGTGATACTATTTTAGCCATTGTGATGGGTGTGTACTGATATTTCACTGTTATTTTAATTTGCATTTCCCTAATGGCTAAAGATGTTGAACATCTTTTTATGTGCTTATTTGCTATCTGTAGATTGTCATTGGTGAATTTTCTGTTTGTGGATGCTGTGGTCTGAATGTCCCCTCCAAAAAGCATGTTGAAATTTAATCCCCATTATGTTGGCATTAAGGGGTAAAGCCTTTGGGGAAGGTTAGTCATGAAGTCTCTGCCCTCATGAATGGCTTAGTGCAAGCTTGTCCAACCCATGGCCCACAGGCCACATGCATCCCATGATGGCTTGGAAAGTGGCCCAAAACAAGTTGGTAAACTTTCTTAGACATTATGAGATTTTTTTTGCAATTTTATTTTTTTAGCTCACCAGCTATTGTTAGTGTTAGCATATTTGTCTGTGCCTATAAATGTTTCTGGATTGCTGGCTTCTCTAGCACCTAACACCCTGTCTGAGATTTATGAGGCCAAAGAAAACACAGGGAACTCACTACCATGCCCTTCCTTGGACCTCAAGCTCTTTAGCTAGTCTCCCGTTTTCTCTATAACTTTCAGAGTCACCTTAGTTTTATGTATATATATGTCCAAGGTTTTTATTTGTACTTAGCAGGAAGAATAGGGAAAAATATTCCATCTTCTCAGAAGCGGAAGTCCCAAGATTATAGAATCTTTTGAATCTAAATTTATTTGAGAAGCTATTTAAACACATATACACATCTATACATATCAGATATTTGTTTTCTAAGTCTGTGCCAATGTGTTCTGTGTTCCTGGGGCTAGTACTAGGGCCATGAGACAGTGCTACTCATCATGCAGTCCCGCATTCAGTACTGGTAGTGTTTGCTGCTCTATAATGAATTTAAAATTTGAAAATGTTCATTTCATCTTCTCTGTTGATGGGTGTGTTACAAAGTTTATACACTAACAATCATCTCTTGACCACAATTCAAGTAGAATGGTATTTTTAAGAAAACATTCAGTGGTAGATAGTTCAATTTTAACTTTCTCTACTGGTGGACTCCACAAAGACGATGTGTCAACATATTCTTTGTGTAACTCACAGATGAAGCTCTTTTGAAATGTATCTAATAGAGCTGCTCAGGGATGAGTGTTTGTGGAATCCATTTAGATCACTCTATAACCCTTCCTAAAATACTCTGACATCCTGTGTCATTTGGAAGATATGACGACATCAGCAAACTGGTCTTTGTTGTATAAAATTTCTCGAATTGTCTCTTGATAATTATTTTCCTAGTGACATTTTCTTAAAGAGTCACACATTATTCCTACAAAGCAAGAATTGTTTCAGACAGCAGCTGGGCTTCACAAATAGAAATTTGGTGGACTACAGAGCACATCTGTCGACATTTTTGAAGATTAAGAATAGGACTCTTGAATGACACTTATCCTAAAAAGTTATAATTTTGTGTTGCTTCTAAAAATAACTACTGAAAGTCATTAAGTATTATTCGCTAGACTAACTCTGTATTAGAAAATGAACAGTATTAAGACCATAGACCTGAAAGCATAAAAAACAAAATACATTCCTCATTTTGTATTTTGTGCCAAAGTTTTTAAAACCACTCTCTTTCCTTCTAGAGAAACTTGTACAAGAAATGATTATCTTAATTTCTTAAAATGTTTGTATTAATGTTGATGCCTAGAAAGGCAAACTATAAGTGACAAGTTGTTACTGTATTTTATAAGGAAAGAATAGGACTAAGTATTTTTGCTTCAAACATTCTCCTACTCCTCAGTCTGAAAGAATTGACAGTTTTATGCAACCTGAAGGCTGAGAGAATTAGGTACTAGCTGAAGGTTTGACCTCCATTGTTGCTGAGGACAACCAACTTGAAATCAGAATGATTCTGTGCTAATTCTAAAACTGTGTGCTGAGAAAGTGTTTTTATATACTCATGAACTTCCATTTCTGATAAAACAAATCAATATGTAGACTTGTATGTTTTATTTTTAACTAATGGTAAATTCAACAAGAGTTTGAAAAAGAGAAGTTCTGTATTCATTGCATTATAGCTTTTGAGATCATCATATATTTATCCCATTTCATGTGACCTAAAACAGTGTTTTTGTGGTATCTGAGTAGCTTAAATCTAATGCTACTTAATCTGTAACATTTTAAGTAGAACCCATTACCAAACTACTTGTAAGAAAAGCAATGTAAGTGCTTTCATAATTTTCACATCTATTACTGATTATTTATGGAATACTGATTATTTATGGAATAATGTTCTACGTTCTTTAAACATCTAAGACATCTTTCATTGTTCTTATTCGGTGTGTAAGTTGGAACAGCCTCTCTCAAGGGCACTTTGACAGTACTGATCATAATTTTAAGTATTCAGTTTAAAACCTAGGCATTTCACGTTTAGGATCCTTATTCATAGGGTTACTAAAAGAAATGAACAAAATATATGTATAAAAATACTCTTTAAAGTAGCATTTTAGGAAAATTGAATTTCATGTAAATGTCTGTCAGCAGGCCAGGCATCGTGGCTCGTGCCTGTAATCCCAACATTTTGGGAGGCTGAAGTGAGTGGATTTCTTGAGTCCAGGAGTTTGAAGCCAGGGAGGGTAGACCCCATCTCTACAAAAAATCTCTGCAAGACCCCATCTCTACAAAAAATAAAGCAAAAATTAGGTGCCTATGGAGGTGCATGCCTATGGTTTCAGCTACTCAGGAGGCTGAGCTGAGAGGATTGTTTGAGCCTGGGAGGTCGAGGCTGCAGTTGAGCCACGGTTGTGCCATTGCACTCCAGCCTTAGAGCGACACAGCAAGACCCTGTCTTAAAAGCAAAAAAAAAAGACAGTGAGAACATGGTTAAATAAATATTGTCGTATAAGTACCGTGTAATCACAAGGAAGAGAGACCTTAGAAAGATATTTAAGTTGTAGTATTAAGATTTTAAGAAAGAGGTCAGGCGTGTGGCTTACATCTGTAATCCCAGCACTTTGGGAGGCCAAGGCAGGTAGATCACTTGAGGTCAGGAGTTCAAGACCATCCTGGCCAACATGGTGAATCCCCATCTCTACTGAAAATGTAAAAATTAGCCAAGCATGGTGGCAGGCACCTCTAAGGCCAGCTACTCGGGAGGCTGAGACATGAGAATCGCGTGAACCTGGGAAGCAGAGGTTGCAGGGAGGCGGAGGTAGCAGTCAGCTGAGATTGTGCCACTGCTCTCCAGCCTGGGTGATGGAGTGAGACTGTGTCTACAAAAAAAAAGAAAGACAAGCATTCTAGTATATATAATATGCTTCCACATGTAGGATAATTCCATTACTGCAACACTTGCAGATACATAGAAAAGGTACAGAATGTTAGCAGTGGTTTTTCTTGGTAGGGCTGTTACATGCCATTCAAGTTTTACAGAGCGAAAAGACACCTGGCTGAGGCAGTGAGTCCCCTCTCACTTGTGGAATTGGATGACATTCTGACATTCCACTTATCCCTTGCCCAGTCATGGTACTGGCAAGTGACCACATCTTCCCAGAGGTACGCGTACTTTTTTCTAGTTATCACAAAGGTTCCTGGTAGGCTCATACCCTGGTAGGCCCTGACTTCTGGGGCCCGAGCGGTTTGTTTGAGGTAGAGGTGTACAGCAGGGGGCTGCTTTCATTTCTCCAATATTTTTGGTGTCATTTGCACTATTTTTGGACAAGCAAGTATTCTGTTTGTAAATTAAAAGAAAATATAAAATGAAATATAGTGATCAAAGAGAGAGAAACATATAAACATATGAAGTATCAGAAACACTGTAAAAGAATCCTTCTGTGGCAATCATACTTGGTTTGCCACCAGTGAAATCTGAGAAAAGTCAGTGTAGTCATATATATATATATATGTATGTTAATATCTCAAATTAAAAAGAATCCTTCTGTGGCAATCATACTTGGTTTTCCACCAGTGAAATCTGAGAAAAGTCAGTGTAGTCATATATATATATATGTGTATGTTAATATCTCAAATTAAAATAACAGCCACTTCCCTAGAGTATTTCTTAAGCTGCACAGTTTCTTGAGGAAGGAAAACAAACAAAAAAAAGATTAAAGTGGGGAAAGTTCCTTGAGGCAAACCAAATACCTGTCACTTGAACAAGTTAACAGGATCAATTAAGGAGGTAAAAAATGGGCATTGTGAGCACCACGGAACAAGTTAACAGGATCAATTAAGGAGGTAAAAAATGGGCATTGTGAGCACCACGAGAGCAGAACTCTCAAATCTCTGCAAACTGACTCCCTGCGCTTTAAGGGCCTGAAAATGAAGCTGTTTGATTCGTGTAGCAAGTTCGTATAGATTTCCAAGTAGAAATCAGCTTAATGCTGAATTAATTTGACTTTCCCACTAATGTGGTAGGTGATGGTTGCTGAAGCCTTGGACATTTCCAGAGAAACCTACCTAGCAATCCTGATGGACCGGTCCTGCAATGGCCCGGTGTTGGTGGGCAGCCCGCAGGGGGGTGTCGACATTGAAGAGGTGGCTGCTTCAAATCCAGAGCTCATTTTTAAGGTATGTTTAAATTCCTGGCTACCCTCTATTAATTGATTGTTATTGTAGAAGCTGTTAAATGTTTAATGTGGAGTCTAAGGTCAGGAGCAGTAAATCTGTCTCTACAATTTAAGGTACGAAGATGTTGAGCCCTTTTTCTTTCTATGTATCCAGTTGAAAGTTGGGTGAAATCAAGGTATTCCGTGTTCAAGGACTTTTTATCTTTGCTTTCCCCATTCTTTTTTCTTTCCTTCTTCCTGTCTTTTCTTCCTCCCTGATTTCTTTCCATCCAATTGTCCTCAAGAATTAACCAATGGGAGAGGACTGCTATACTTTCATTTCTCATGGTTAACTCTCTTTCATTTTATATTAACTGTGTCTAGAAATGCTCTTCTAGGAGATGAATGAATTCTCTTTTAGCACATGTGAACTAGACACTGCCCTGAGGTCCTCAGTACTGTTGATGTAAACTAGAATCTTTATGAAGTCCAGATTCTGTTTCTTTCAGTCCTTGAAATTTTGACTCATTTGTTGATATTAAGGTTAGTTTAAGTCATAGATCGGAGGTCAAATTTAATCAGAGTGCAAGTTTCTCAAAGTCTCTAAACCTCATTTTTAAATCAGTAAGATGAACATGGGGTGATTTCTATCCCATGAGATTGTAAGGATTAAATGAGATAATGTGTATCAAGTGCTGCTTAACCTACCTCAGCTGTAAGGAGAGCAGCACAACTTTTCAGAACTAAAATTCAAGTTTTTAATCTGGGTTCTTGGTGTCAAAATCACATTAAAATTTTCTACCAGAAACATTCATTATTTCTTTAGGAAAATGATTTTTTGTTTCCCTTTGAAAAGGGGAGAATTTATTTCTTAAATCTCTTTGTCTAAATAATATACAATACACACTCACTTAGCATCCTCAATAGGTGCTTGGAAATTGTGACCTGAATGGAAATGGTGTATAAGGAATCCAGTGTTACCGTACATAGGCTAATTGATATAAACAAGAGTTAAGTTCCTATGGCATATTTCTGCTCAAAAAAACATCACCCAACTCCTAAATGAAGACCAACACATTTCTAATGTTACACATTAAAATAGTCAGGAGCCATGTATACATTTCAGAAAGATTTCATAAAAACAAATAAGATCATTATTTATCCAGTTATTCCAGCTCAGGGTCTCTGGTGGCCAGAGCACAGGGTACAAGGAAAGAACCCACCCTGGATGGGACACCATCTCATTTCAGAGCACACTCACACAGCACACACCCACACTCACTCAGACTGGGACTGTGTAGACATTCAGTTCACTTGACATGTACAGATTTAGGATGTGGGAGAAAACCAGGGGACCTAGAGAAAATCTACTCAGACAAGGGTAGAATGTGTAGACTCCACACAGACAGTGGCCTTGGCTAGGAATTGATTTTTTTTTTTTTCTCTCAACATTATAACAAAATAACTTTGAATGAAGTAACATTATTTGCAGACCTGCTGTACTCATACTTCAGTGATTGGTTTTAAAATATTTTCACCAATGTTACATATTTAAGTTAATTACCTTGGAAATTGAATTGAGAATTTATATGCAGACTTACCAATAACACCTAGTTATTTTCAGAGTTCACATTATTTAAATCAAGCCATTCCATTTGTTAAGAGGATGTATGAAATAATGTATGTGAACAGTAGTGCTCAGGGTCTTTGAGACAATAGCATTTTGTAGAGGTTAAGATATCAGTAAGAATTATCACCAATAGAGTGTTTAAATCATAAGGTAATATTTAACCTATCTATGACAGGCTTTAAACTTAACTAATATTAGGCAGGAAAACCTTACTTTGGAAGCCTTCCAAAAGATGTCATAAAAATTAACCGACTAAATATTCGTCAATGCCATCTGTATAGTAATTAAAAGTGAAAACTGGCATCAGATCTTCTTGTCAGCATGCCACCCTGGAGAATTATATAGTTTTTGGAAGGGCTGTTTTATAGATGGTCTGCTAATTAAAACATACCCTACAGGCATTGTGGGAGCCCTGCTCAGAGATCTCTGGATGGGTGCCATGCTTTAATTACTCATTTGCAAATAAATACTAAGCATTTTCTTTTGAGGTTGTAAATCTTCTTAGTTCACTGTCTGAATTTTGTTTATTTGATTTATTTTTACTAGGAGCAAATTGACATTTTTGAAGGAATAAAGGACAGCCAAGCTCAGCGGATGGCAGAAAATCTAGGCTTTGTTGGGCCTTTGAAAAGCCAGGTATATAAGCCATTGGGGGATGGTGTGTCTGACTTGTTTCAGAAAACATTTGGGAACTTGCTTAATTGCCTCTAGTGTCTGTGATTACCAGGAAGCAGGATTATTTATTGTTTTATAATTTTTTCCTCCAGCTGTTTATGATGAAGAAAAATATTTTCCTGATGTTTTAAAGAGGATGTTTATGATGTCTTTTAATCTATTTTGGTATGTGTCCGCATGTGTATTGCATGTGGACACATATACTTTATGATGGATGGTAATCTCTTTTTTTTCTGTAGCATTGCTGGTACATAGCACTGGCAGGTGTGTGATTCAGCTCATTCAAACTTTAGTTTCATCATATGTAGAATGGAAATGATGGCAGTTCCTGAGAGCTTATTGTGGGGATTCAGTAAAATAATGTGTGAAAGTCCTTATTGTAGTGCTCCATAAAGGGTCATTCTTATTGGTATTAATTATACTTGTTATTTAGCTAATTGCTATTTTTTCATAGCTAATGGGCATTTGAAATGAATATTGATGACATAAAGAGAACAACTTAAAATATTGCCAATTTTGTAATAATATCCCTTAGATTCAAAGAACAAAAAATTGGCTTCAGAGCTGTTGAGGGACAGAATCTATCTTGAGCATTTGCCCTGCTCTGCCTTTGGGTCCAGCCTGTGCACCTGATTATATGTCTAGCGGGGCAAGCTTCCTAATGCCACAGTGAAATCAGATGAACTTACTTTTTCCTTCCTCTCTTACTCAGAGAAGCTACCTTAATGACCCTAGATTGCATGCATGTGTGTGCGTGTATACGTTCTCTGACCTGGAGCTTTATGAAGAGGTTATAGAATATGTCCTTTAATTTGCTTGGGCAGCACTGTTCTCATAAGACAGTAGATAATCCACTCTTTTCTTCCTGTGTTTTCTTTTTCTTTTGATTGACTGTCTCTCTGGAAGTTTTATGGTAACAGTAGGCAAGTCAAAGAGGGGTAAAGCAGAATAAGGTTTTAAAAATATATATGCTTAAATGAAGGGAAACTGCTTATTTGAAAAAGGGTAAAGGCTCACTTTGAAAGCAAAAGATTGAAGATGGTAGAATGAGACAGCGTCATCTGCGACCAAATCTCAGGATGACAGAGAAAGGGCCATGATTCAATGGACATTTAGAGGAACCAATTGCCATTTCTGAGACTAGCAAAGGGATGCCAGGATAGCGATCTGTCTGAAGAAGATACTGGAAGATTCCTGAATTTGTGCTACAGTCATTGGTTTCACTTCCTGAAAATGAGGATACCAGCTACATTAGCCATTCACTTGACATTTATTAAAGGGCTGCTTCTGTAGCAGTGGTGGTCACCAAAAGCCCGTCTCCCGTACAGCCACTGTGGTCTAGCTGCCCTGTCTAGCAGTTAGCTCCAGTGTGCACAGTGATCCTGTCTCCCTCCTCCATATCACTTTGGACATCTGTATTTCTCTTATTTATTTGCAGTCACCTTTCCTAGATCCTAATCTTTACCACAGCAGGGACTTTGTCCATTCTCCTCTCCTCTGTGTTACCAGCAGCTGGCAAAGTGCTTGGCATCTATTTTTATTCCTCAAGAAACATTTATTGTGTACATGACTAGATGAAACAACACATCTAGGTGTCCGCTTTGAAGAGGTTCCTAGGGAGTCAGCAAAAGGTGGCTTTTCTTGGCAGAAAAATAAATCTGGAATGGGCAATATCTGCTGACCACATATTTAAAAGCTCAAGAGGTGAATGTAATAGAGTTCTAGAGAAGTTAATAATAGTATACTGTACATCACAGGATACTCCCCCCTCACTACATATTATAAGAGAAAATTAAGAGTTATTTGTAGCTCTTAAATGGCTTACTAGTGTTTTCCTAGAACCTGAAACACTCTAGGTTTTAAATGAGTTAACCTATGGAAGGAAGATGAATGTGTGAGAACTCAGGGGTCAGTAAGTGGCCATATTGTCAGTATAACTTTGACTTAATTTATTGAGGAAAGGAAATAAAATGTTTTAAATCTATTATTTATTTCTTTCTTTACTGCTAATTCCATGAAAGCTTTAAATCTTCATTTTCTCAGCAGCTTGGGATGAGCACTGATTGGGTGTTGCCCGGTCTGGTGTGCCTTGGGGAGCAGAGACAATGAAAAACAATCATTTTTCTTCAGAGGCTCACAGACCAGAAGACATCTGCCTGCTGGCTGAGAGAGTACAGGAAGAGGGGTGGATAAAGAATGTGAAAGGGTGGGGTGGGGGGAAGAGAGAGAGAGACAGAGAGACAGAGACAGAGAGAGAGACAGAGAGAGAGAGAGAGAACTCAGCTGTAGTCATGTTGGAAGCTGTTCACCTAGGGACAACTGATTATATTTCTACAGTAGAAGGCTTGGGATCCCAGGGAAAGCTTTGTACTGGATTTGCAGGCTTGGGAATCTCTGCTTTATGGTGCTTGCTCAAGCTGTGAAGATTAGTGAAATGTTCTACATTGAGAGCCAGTCTACAATGAGCAGATGAGTCAGTGAAGGGAAACATTTAAACAATTATCAATAAATAATCTTTTCCTAAAGAAATAGTATCTTAGAGGTGCCTTAGATTCATTGTGATGTTGAAAGTTACTTAATTTTCATCTAGGATGTAGTTTGGGCATTTGGAGGCACCTCACTCATAGTTGAATATCATATAAAATGAATCTTGTAAAATGATTAATATCTTTTCTGTTACTCATGCCTGTTGTCTCTAAAATGTGATTAAGATTAGACACAACAAAAATAAACATGATATTTTACTTTACATGAAAACTACCAAGTATCTGTTCCAAACTAAAGGCTATTTTTGTGAGAATTTGTTGAAAAATGTTAAGACATAGGAAAGCTTAATATAGTGTCCCCCTTACCTGTGGAGGATATGTTCCAGGACCTCCAGTGCATGCCTGAGGCTTACCTACTACCAAACCCTATATATACTCTTTTTTTTTTCTGGATATCTATACCTAGGACAAATTTTAACTTACAAATTAGGTACAGTAAGATATTAGCAACAACAATAAAATAGAACAATAGCAATAAAGTGTAATAAAAGTGATGTGAATATGGTCTCTTTCTCAAAATACTTCGTTGTACTGTATTCATCCTTCTTGCAATGATGTCAGATGATACAATGTCTACATGGTAAGACGTAGGGTGAATGATAGGAGCATTGTAATGTAGCATTGGGCTACTCATGACCTCCTGGCAATACTTCAGGAGTGACATCTACTTTGGATGATCCTGGATCATCAAACCACAGGTGTCAATGGCTGGATGTCAGGAACAGATGATGTCAGTGGTTGGGAATCCTGAATAGTTGAAGTTTTTTCACCACAACCTTTTAGAAGAACATCATAATTAGAAGTTTTGTCTCTTTCTTTTTAACTCATCAAAGTGTTGCTGTAGAGGTTGTAATCCTTCAGTGACTTTAATATTGTGTTCCATCCGAGGATTTTATTCCATAATTTTGTCCTTTCCATTTAATAAGTTGGACCATAGTAGACCATGGGTAACTAAAACCACAGAAAGAAAAACTGAGGATGGTGGTTGGGGGAAACAATTATATGACTGAAACTTACAAGTTTCTCAAGTGTGTCTTAGTTATCATCTATACTGTTCATTTCTGAAAACATGGGTGCCATCAATTGTCAACATGTGCCTCTAGGTTTTAGGCTGATGAAAAGGTTTGATGGTCCAAGTCAGTGCAAGATCACAAACACCTCTTGAAGTGGTTTTTACTCCTGGCTTGATTTGAGAGCTATATGTGAATATTGACGATAATGTCTGGAATGCAAGAAAAATATGTAAAATTCTTAACCTGTTGAGACTTTTTAAAAATTAATAGATGATTTATTTCAGCAAGAATACATATAGTCATCATTGGCAGATGTTAAATGTTTGATCCAATTTTCCTTCCTGGATAAGTTTTCCTTTCCTATTCCTCTTAGTTTTGAAAACATGAGGAAGAAAAAGAAATGCCTATTTTCACATGGAGCTTCCAAGCGTGAGTTTTTAGGAGTAGGTGTGAAATTAGGATAGACATTTGCTGATCTTGCATAGGTCCAACAAATCAAGGCAGGATCTTCAGTGAGCTGTCAGCTGTTACGGTCACTGTACTGAAACAAGTACTCGCGTTTCAGCTGGGCTCTTACAGCCAACCACTTGGCTTGTGCCCGCTGGGTTTCCGGGGATATGTCATATTCAGCTGGGTTGAGAGTCATGGGTGGAGTGGCCAGGTACAGTGACTTCATAAACAACATCTTGGTGACCCAGCGCATAACTGTGCCTGCACAGTTCTGATGCCCTTTGTCTTTATGCTCCTGTTGAGACATTTTTAAAGAAGCTTATAAACTTGTCAGGTTTTCATGTATTCGTATTTGATTTTACGGATTTCAATTTTTAAAAATTGCTTAACAGACAAACTTAAAATAACAGTAGTTGGTGGCAAAAGTGCAGAAAAACTTTTTGTACAGCATGGTTATAAGCTGAGAAAGTAGATGGCAGTAGTAAATGACTGACTGCAAGTTGACCAGGAGAATGTTCTTTTTGACCTGTGCTTATTTTTTAACATTTAACCCATGTAGAAAGCAGGTAAGTGAATCTTAACTTGCCACATGCCATGCCACTCCCTGTTACACCTGGTCACACTTACACATTCTGTCTGCCTAGTCCTTATAACCATGTAGTGTATAGCCTGTGGAATAAGACATCATACAAGGGTTTGTCATTGTAAGATCTACAAGGGAGAACCAGCTTGATTTGGAGATGTCTCCAAGTCAAACTATGTTTTAGTCTTGCTCCAAAAATTATAGTGTGTCTTTGTATAACACAGAAAATTAAAATATCCCCAGAATGCTATGCTAATGTATAAATTACAATGGCCTTAATGTGCAGAAAATTCAGGCTTTATACTAAACAAAGTTGGTATAGGCTTAAGAAGTTCTGAAACAATTTAAGTGTACATCTGTGGATGAATGGATAAACAAAATGTGGTATATACTATAATGGAACTTTATTGAGCCTTGTAAAACAAGATTCTGACACATAGTACAGTATGGTTGGGGCTTGAGGACATTGTGCTAGGTGAAATAAGCCAGTCACAAAAAGACAAACACTGTATGGTTCCACAGGTATCTAGTATATGTTTATGTGCATAACTTTTATTTTATGTATGTGTATATATAGATAGATATCTCTAGTGTGTGTATATATATATATATATATATTTTCTATCTATATATCTACACATAAATATCTATATATATGGAGATGTGTTTGTGTGTGTGTGTGTGTATGGAGAGAGAGGAAGAGACAGAGATGCTATCTAGAATAGTCAAATTTATAGACACTAAGTAGAATGATGTTGCCAGAGGCAGTGGGACAAGGAGAATGGGAGTTTGTTTAGTGATACAGAGTTTGAGGGAAGATGAAGAAGTTCTAGAGATTGGTTTCACAATGGTTGAGATATGGTGAATTTTATGTTTTGTATATTTTATCACAATTTTTTAAAAAGGAAGTTTTGAACTAGCAGGATTAGAGTATACATATATATGTGCCCAGAAGTTATTTCTATTATCTAGTCCCTCCTTAGAATTAAATTAATCTTTAATTCAACCAATATTTATAGAGTGTTGACCCTGCAGAGGTTGTATCGCTACAGTGGATGCCAAGGTACCCAGGATACATAGGATGCCCTGTCCAACTCACATTGCAAGCTCCCATTGATGACCTAGAAAATCCCCCAAAATACAAAAAATATTCAGCAGTGAAGTATTTGCTGGCTTCACATTTTAACTTAAATTTTATTTGGATTAAAAAAAATGGAAACAGTAAATAAAGGAAATTATAAAGAATACTAGAAAAAATCATGGGAAAATTTTAAATACTCTCAGAGAGGTGGAGGTTACAATGAGCCTACATCGCGTCACTGCACTCCAGCCTGGATGACAGAGTCAGACTCCATCTCAAAAAAAAACAAAACAAAAAACAACTTAGAATGGGTTTAGCCTTTTAAAAGTCTGACATAAATGCCTACACCTCTTCTTCCTTCACTCTGGGTAATTTATCCTACAAATCTTCAATCACCTGTATGATAAATATACAGAGACAAGTAAGGCAGTGTTATAATGTCAACCTATTAAAAACAATCCAAATGGTCATTATTTAAGTGAAAGGTTAAAGGAAATATATATCAATACAGTAAGATACTATGTAGTCAATTAAAAGAATACTATTGATCTACCTGTGTTGCTGATGAAGTGTCTCTAAAAATCTGTTAGGTAAAGAAATGAGCCATAGGAACAAGTTTGCTTTTTTAAGACAGATGAAGGAGGAATGCATACCTTCTTAGGCACAGAATATCTCTCAGATGAAGCATAAATTGATGAGGTGGCTACCGCTGGGGGCCTGTGTAGTTGAGTGGTACAATCAGGGAAAACCTTTATGTACTTTGGGAATTTCATATCATGTACATGTATTATCTACTCATACAAATATTTAATACTAAAAACATTTAATCATACCCACTGTGTGGGTTTGTTTATATCTACTAGGCCTCAGATTTGAATTTAAAGATGTTTTCAGGTAGACATAAAATACATTAAGATAGCATGAATTTAATCCATAGTTCTTCAGTCAAATCTGTAACCACTTGAAATATTTACACCAGTGGGGATTTACTTTAGGGATGTGTTTCATAGGTGCTGAATGTTTCATAGGGATGTGTTTCATTCAGCAAGAGCTGAATACTTTTTTTTTTTTTTTTTGAGACGGAGTTTTCGCTCTTGTTACCCAGGCTGGAGTGCAATGGCGCAATCTCGGCTCACCGCAATCTCTGCCTCCTGGGTTCAGGCAATTCTCCTGCCTCAGCCTCCTGAGTAGCTGGGATTACAGGCACACGCCACCATGCCCAGCTAATTTTTTGTATTTTTAGTAGAGACGGGGTTTCACCATGTTGACTGGGATGGTCTCAATCTCTTTACCTCATGATCCACCCGCCTCAGTCTCCCAAAGTGCTGGGAAAAGCTGAACATTTTAAGAGCAGACAGAAAGCCAACCTAGAGCATATCCATCTTCATGTTCCAGGAACAAAAATGAGGCAGCAGTGTTTACTGCACCTCGGATGCAGAAGCTAGAACACTGGTGGGCTTCTCCAGTGGGAGCAAGAGCCAGAAGAGGAGATGTTGCCTTGACAGAAAGAGAGGAGTAGAAGTACCCTGGCTTTTCCCTTCTTCCCACCTGCATCTCTCACCACTGCTTCCCACTGGCTGACCCCAGCTAGAAACCAGCTGACCTAGGAACCTAGAAAACTCAGCCTGTAAAAGTCAGCTCCAATCATATACAGAGTAGAGTTGGGGAACAGAAAATAGATCTGCTGCAAATAATGTAAGGCTGGCACAGTGAGTGAAATCTGGCAATGGGAAAACAGTGGCTTGAGAGAAAGGAGCCAGGAATGAGACTGATACCTAATGCATCGCTGTGATCAACCCCCTTGCTCTGTGCATCACATGCTCCTTACCTTATTGACAGGAGCTTTCCAGGGCAGAGGGATGGCTCATTCTTGTTCTCATTTCAAGCCCCAGCTCACGGGATACCAGGCTGCTATGTCATAGGCAGGGAAGAAATACTGGTTGAAAAGAATGAATGAATGAGTGAATTTCAAGCAGAGTGAGAAAAGTGAAGTCAGGGCATAACAGGGCAATCTTGGGTATTCTTGCTCTTTGTCGTTAATGCCTTTGGGACAAAGTATTTCAGTTTGAACTGTGCTGTTCACTAACTATACTATTAAGCACTTTCATCTTCCTGTTTTGCAACAATTTCCATTAGACACTCCGTAATTGTTTCACAGATTATGGGTTGGATTGATGAATATAATAACGGTTTTATTTCAGCACAATAAAGAAAACCTAGTCATTACAAACTCTCAAAATCATGTTTACCTTTTACTTAAATGGAGCTTGTTTGTATTAATGATTGTAGCTTATATTGCAGCTTAACTCTGCTAATAGAGACATGATAATTTACAAAAAGATTAACAACATTTTAGGCGGTACTGAAATTATTTTGTTTTCTTGATAATGGTCTCTTCTGGTGTCTGGAGGAGAGTTGAGCAATTCCTTTTAATGAATAGCAGCGCAAATTAAAATAATTATGCTTTTCTGTTTTTCCCTTCAGAAAACCTAACTGAAAATAAAAACATAACTTGCTATTTTCAAGGTTTCATTAATCCAGCAAAATAAATTTTCTTTTACTGCTTTGGTGTAATTCTGTTTCACTTGATCACATTTAGGCTGCAGATCAAATTACGAAGCTGTATAATCTCTTCCTGAAAATTGATGCTACTCAGGTGGAAGTGAATCCCTTTGGTGAAACTCCAGAAGGACAAGGTAAAAAAAAAATAGAGAAAACAAATGAATGTATTGTAATTATTTATGCAAACTGTAAATTAAATTGCACAGAAGACTATAGCAGCAGCTTTGCATTAATTCCTTTCAGTAATTTAATTTCTGCCATAGTTTCGAATGCTCCCATGACACAGTTGAACATTTCAGCACTTAGGTTTGTTGGTAGCCAAATGCCAAGCCTCTAAGGAAGCTACTGGTTGTTTTACTTAAGAACATCCAGGCTTGGTGTGGTGGCTCGTGCCTGTAATCCCAGCACTTTGGGAGGATGAAGCAGGAGGATCACTTGAGGCCAAGACTTTGAGACCAGCCTGGGTAACATACTGAGACCCTGTTTCAATAATAATAATAATAAAGAAAATAAACATCCATCCACCTGTTTCCCTCCACCTTATTTTTTAGGTGCATCGTTGTTGTGACTAAGGTAAGATTTGTGTAGAAATGGGAACTACACACTTGGATATAATGAATGCATGTGCCTTTATGGAATTGGAGCTTTTTGAACATCTTTAGTTTGCCTAAATCTGTGTATAATTTCACCTTGTCTTCTGGGCTGGATTTATATCACCTTGGTGTAAAGCCCCTGAGGCCCCCAGTTGAACTCTACTTAGATGTAGTTTCTGCTTCAGGCAGGAGGAGGTGGCATTGGTGAAGGTTTCTCCTATCCATCAGGTGCTTGTAGAGTATAAATGACTATTTTATATCTCAGTACCTAGCACAACTGCACTGTTTCTTGCATACAGCAAATGTTCTATAAGTTCTTATTAATTTGATAGCAAAAGCTTGTGAATGTGTGTGTGGTAGGGGGAAAGGTGGGGTTCCACACACATATTCACAAGCTTTTGCTATCAAAAGAGTGAAATAGCAGGTGGATAGGATAGATTATAAGCTCCACGAACCCCTTCTTTTTTAGTACATTTCACCTCCAGTGTATTGTGTGTTGTCTAGCATGTTACAGTCAGTAAATAGGACTTTGCATTGAATTGGTAAATCGGGTGAATCATTATGTATAAACACATCAACTTTTGAGCCAACGTGGATGAGACAATATTTTCTTCTTAGCACATTTCAGAGATTCTGCAGCTAGACTCAGAGAAGCTACATTATCATTTTCTTGGAACCCAGAGAGGCCTAAGCATAAATTCTGTATCTGCCATGTTTTGGCTACAGATCTAGGCATGTTACTTAGCCTACCTAAGTTTCAGGTCTTTTTTTTTTTTTTATCAAATAAGTGGTGAAAATGATGCCTAGCTCATAGAGTGTTGTGAAAATAAGATGAGATTGTATATGAGTATGCATGCAGTGTCAGATACAAATAGGCTAGTCCTTAACAGTCATAAAATGGAATTCCTCTTCTCAGGTAGAGAGTAGCCCAGGCAAGGTATAGATTTCAGAAAAGAGCAAGCAAAGACTTTATGTTTAGGAAGCCATTGAAAATAGTATATTTCATGATTTATACAAATGACCATTCAATAGAAATCTGAGCTTGGTCATTTATAAACAAGCTACCTGTATTCATAAATTTTTTAAAAATTGCTATGGCTATAAAATCATGAATATTTCATAAGGAGAAGAAAGGAAGGGAAGATGCTGTTTTTTGAGCTTGTATGCCAGGCACTGTGATAAACTTATATATACATTCTTTCATATTCTTTACCACAACCCTGAAAAAGTTGTTATCCCTATCTTATAGAGGATTGAAAAACTAGTGTGACTCTCCCAGGGGCCGCTAGTTACAGAAGCTGGGATTTGAACCCGTGTCCGTCTGAGTCCAGCATGCATGTCGATTCTGATACTCCAGGCTCAACTGTAGCAACCTGCCTTTTCTACTTTTTCCCATTTAAACTAATTACTTGCTTTCATGAACATGACGTAGAAGTAGTCTCCAGTTTGGCAGGGAATAACAGTCAGAATTCATGTTGATAATTAAATCCAAGAAATGAAGGAGAAGGTTTAACAAAAGCTCTTAAAGGTCATGTATTGCTTTTAACTAGTATACACAAGCAGCCTAGTTGCTTCATATTAAGAAAAATGGAAATTCAGCTTATAGCTATGGAGTGGGATAAAAATGGCTGCAATACAATTTTTATTGATCCCTTTGGGAAGCAGTCACAGGCTATGTTCTGGCTGCAGGGAACAAAGGTGTGGGAACCTTTTCTTTATTATTTTTTCCTTTTCCTTTTCTGTTTTTCTTTTGTTTCAAGACAGAGTCATGCTCTGTCACCAGGCACCAAACTGGAGTGCAGTGGCTCAATCTCGGCTCACTGCAAACTCTGCCTTCCGAGTTCAAGTGATTCTCCTATCTCCAAGCGATTCTCCCGCCTCAGCCTCCACAGTAGCTAGGACTACAGGCATACGCAGTTAATGTGTGTGTGTGTGTGTGTGTTTTTAGTAGAGATGGGATTTCACCCTGTTAGCCAGTATGATCTCGATCTCCTGACCTTGTAATCTGCCTTCCTGGGCCAGATAATCAAAGTACTGGGATTACAGGCATGAGCCACCGTGCCCGGCTGGGAACCATTTTTTAGAGTGTGTTTATAAACCATTGTGAGTCGGAAGTTTGATTTTTAATTATTAAGAGAATGCAGGAGTCTTGAGATTATTTTTTAAAGGGAATCATCATAAAACATGTTTTATATACAGTTCATTAAAACGTCTTATGTGATGTTTTAAAGAGCAGAATTATCTTTAGCTATTAATTTGTTCATTGTACCATAAAGGTTCAGCAATTGAATTATAATCACAATTAAATGAGTATGTTGGTTTATAACTCTAATGAGCAGTAGTCAAATTAAACCCAGTTAGGAAATGGTGATTAATGACCAAATGTACAAATTGATCTTCATCATTATCACAATCCCCTAAAGCTATCTTTTATTTAGGAAGTATAAAAGCAGTCATTTATATTTTAGCAATATTGATAATGTTAATATTTATAATCTGAGTATTTGTTATTTCTGTTTACATCAGTAGTAGTAGAACATTTCCCATTAAAATGTCCACATTGAAACTTTGATTTAATAATTATTCTTTAAATTTAGAAGTTTAAGGAGCTCAGCATCACATTGTACCACCTTTTTGTTGTTGTTGTTGTTTTTGAGCCAGGGTCTTACTCTGTCATCCAGGCTGGGGTGCAGTGGTACAATCTCAGCTCACTGCACCCTCTGCCTCCTGAGTTCAAGCGATTCTCCTGTGTCAGCCTCCAGAGTAGCTGGGATTACAGGCGCCCACCATCGCAGCTAATTTTTGTATTAGTAGAGATGAGGTTTCACCACATTGACCAAGCTGGTCTTGAACCCTGACCTCAGGTGATCCGCCCACCTTGGCCTCCCTAAGTGCTGGGATTACAGGTGTGAGCCACTGTACCCAGCTGTACCACCTCTTTTTAGGAAAAGTTTTTTGCCCTGCCATTGGTCAGTGAGTGCTATTTTTTAGAGTTCAGGTTATCATTCATATATTTGTATAACAAGTAATGTTGTGTGAAGAACAATGGCCTTGATAACATCTATGCTGCTAAGTCACTCATAGGGAATTTCTGACATGGAGAAAGAACTGTAGTCCAGGAACTCTTTTTTCATGTAAGACTAATAATCTGATTCAAAAAATATAATTTGACACTACTAACTGCAATATAGTTTCACAACTGTTAGCTAGGATTATAATAGTTGCTAATGAAGAAACCTATATTAGCTTTGTTTTTGTTAAAAAGTTATTTTAGCTGTTTGGGCCGAGGCCGCAGCGCAGTGACACTCTGTATAAAATATACTGGTTTGGTTGCACTGTTAAACCAGCAATTGGAGATTTCAGAAGGCAGATTAGCACATTCATCTGATTAAACGGGACTTAAACAGAAAGCCAGGCCAGGAGATTCCCGGGCAGCAACGTGGTTTGAGCCGGCGCAGTGGGTTGCTGCACGGGAAACCACACAGATCCTGGCGCCCTTGCAGTAGGCGACTGGAACACCTGGGAGAGAGTCAACTGTTCAACTGAAAAAAAAAAAAAAAAAAAAAAGGGCTCTGAGGCAGGGAGCCAGGTGATCAGGCTCAGTGGGTCACACCCCCACAAAAACAAACAAAACAGCAATTGGAAACGCTCAGGGTTGAGAGTTTCACGGCAAGCACAGCTACACCCAGGACAGTGCAGCTCAGTGGGGGAGGGGCGTCTGCCGCTACGGAGGCATGCGACCCCTACAGAGGTACTCAGCCATTGCTGACGCAGCCTGCCGTTGCTGAGGCAACCCGCCATAACAGAGAGAGTCCACCACTACAGAGGCGGGCCACCATTGCCACTGCAGTTCTAACCACACCCATATAAACAGGATTATAGGGAATTGCACATGGCAGCAAGGCGGAGCCCACGGCAGCAGAGCGGAGCCGACAGCAACAGGGCAGAGCCCACGGCAGCTGATTATAACCACTACAGGCAAGCAGTGACTAGACTCCCTCCTCGCTGGGCAGGAAAGTGCAACGGATACTCATAAATAAAGCCCTAACTCCCCAGGACAGAGCACCTGAGGAAAAAAAAAGGGGCTTTACGAGTTCTGCTGCAGCAGACTTAAACGTACCTGCCTAGCAGCCCTGAATGAACAATGGAGCTCACAGCTCAGCACTAGAGCTCCTATAAAGTACAGACTGTCTCCTCAAGCAACTCCCTGATCCCCATATATCAAAGGACTGATCAGACTGACATTTGGCAGGCATCATTCAGGGACAAAGATAGCAGAAGAAGAATCTGGTAGCAACCCTCACAGTTCCGCAGCTGCTACCGAAGTTCCCCAGGCAAGCAGGGCCTGGAGTGGACCTCAGCAGTCCTACAGCAGTGGGGCCAGACTGTTAGAAGGAAAATGAAGAAACAGAAATACTTCATCATCAACAATCTGGACGTTCACTCAGAGATCGAATTGGAAAATCAGCAACCACTCAGAAGACAGGTGGATAAATCCACAAAGATGGGAAGAAACCAGTGCAAAAAGGAGGAAAACACCC